CTTACCTTTTCAATAGCCTTTAAAGTAGTAAGCCTATAGGTTTATTCCTACCATAAAGGTCTCTAACCTTCATTTCCCTTCTACCAAAAAATCCTCCCAATATAAAACAATTGAGTCAATTGTCTCTAGACTGTTTCTCCAAAGCTTGATCAGCTTCCAAATATATTCTGTTCTTTGACTATGGTCTTGTGTGGGTGGTGGTAGTGATTTGGGTGATTGCTATATATATATAAGGCTGAAAGGTGCTGAAGCCATCATATAGGGTTCGCAACCTATGACAAAAATAATAAGAAGATTAAGGTTCTTATATAAGTTTATGATTCTAAACTAATGATATAGCCAGCAATATTACTAATCTAACTTAATATCCAAAGATATACCTTAGTCGGTCTTTAGAAAGTAGCTTGATAGTTTATTTTCAGTCTGTCAGATTATCTAGCTTATCTTATTTAAGAATAAGATCACTAAAGAGATTAAGGTCCTTATATAAGCTTAGATCTTAGAAGATTTAGCCTAACTATTGGTATCAATATTGACGATAGCTAGCATTCTCATCCGACTTCATTCTTCCCGCCTTAGACTGGATGGTGGGCGTTCCCCTTACGTACCTAAGCCATATGTTTGGGGATGGGCTTGCTCATCTATCGCCAGAGTTATGCCCGATATTTCCTTGGATATGCAGTTAGGAGGTGGCTTTGACTTCCACTATAATGGTGGCTGTTTGTCCCTAGTTGGGCGTGAGGGGGTAGAAGGGCAATGCTGACCTTTAGGGTCCTCCCCCCTTCCCCCCTTCATCATCTACCTTAGCTTGCGGTAACCCCGGCGAGAATATATTAAAGTCATCGTTGTAGTCAAGTTACAAACTTTTACTTCCACCATATTGGTGGTTGTATTGTCCCTGCTTGACAACTGTAGAGTGTTAAAGTTGTTGTTCACCGCTTCGGGAGAGTTTCAAGGAAGGTCAAGCGGGCGTAGAGGGGGGCAATCCTAACCTTCCAAAGGTTGCTTCCCCTCTCCCCGTCATTATCCATCTCACTTCCTGGGTCCGATACCGAGATTACTTACCATTTATGATTATGGCTAGGCCAGATGCTTTCACTTCCACCATACTAGTGGTCGTGGAAGCGGGCTCGGGAGGCACCGTCCGGCGTGACTTGGATCCATCGGACTAGAGGTTCGATAATCCAACGGGCAAGAGACTAACCAAAGAGACTAGCGAGAAACTGGTACTGCTAGAGGCATTTGTGAGGATTTGTGGGGTAGATATCATCAGGGCAATGCGCCATATATATATAGATGATCCTAAACTCTAGTCGACAGTTGTCACCTATAAGATCATGACGCAATTTTTGCTGCCCTTTATCATGGAGGAAACGCTATTTTCCTCAATGCTGACTGTCGACAAACACGGCCAACAGCAGTCGTTCGGCCTGAGAATTACCCGATAACCTTTGGCGATGCAGATGGCGGCGGCAGCCAGCCGCGCCTGCCAATTGCCTGTGGCAGTAATAATCCCTGGGTCCGAGGGCGCGACAATGATCTCTGCGAAGCTACCGACTGACACGAGTCTCATAGATATTGGTAGCTTAGTCGAGCTCTTGTTCCCGTGGGCACGAGTAGCTGCCGAGCATGTGCAGATCTTGTGGGGGAGGAATGTTGTCAGTAGCCTCTCGCTCCGAAAAGTTGATAGAATGTCGAGGTCAGCAATCCATTTGTCTCTATCATAAACAGAGATGAGCGTCTCGAGGAAGTACGCCTCAATATCTCGACCTCCGGTCGTCCCGACGTTCAGTGCCTGCTTCCACTCGGTGAAAGATAGTTGCAAACTCGTTCCCCCAAAAGAATCGTCGAGTACGCCGTCAAACTCCTGATATTGGTACTGGTACCAGTCGTCTAGTTCGTACTTTCGTACTGTCGGGTTTGGCGGCGAGATCATGAGCGCCATGCCCGCTCGACCGATATTGCCTGTAACTCGCGTGATACCCGCCTGCTGATTATCTTGTTGCGCTGGATCGCGCAGGAGTGCAGAGGCAATGTACAGTGAGTCTGATGAGCACAGTGCAAAAACGGACGACAGTTCTGAAGGCTGGAAGTCGAAGCTGCCCGTCTCCATCATCGCAATGCATGCAAAGCTCGTGGCTGTGTCTGTGTCCCGTGGAGCAAGGTAGTCAATCCTTGAACTCGAGGCGAGATAAGACTTCATCCTGCTGGGTCCTTGACCTTGAGAACTCTCGATTGCTGCTTCCACCCAGGTTGCCCTGCTCAGGTCGACCTTTGCGGCGCGGACGTCGACTGAGGCATCCCGCATTCCCTTATAGAGGTTGTCTATGAAGGTCATACCAAGCACGTTAATATTTGTCTGGGAGTCCAATCTGAGATGCTTGGCCAGCATGCTGAAATCGATTCGGTCAGGCTTGAAAATAGTCATGAGCTTTCTCATGGATAAGGTATATGACGGTTTCGCCTTTTTTGTCTGTACTTTTCCTTGATGAATGATAGGCGCGAATGCCTTCAAACCCCGGCGACAAAGAAGAGAGACGCCTCGCAAGTCACCAAAGACTAGGTCATACTTGTAGTTATTATCTTGAGAAAGCTTCATGACGGCAGCAGGACGGTCTTCTCGGGGCCGGCGATTATCCCTGGATAGCGGCCCATGGTTGATACTAACCGTGTTGGCATGCTCGATAGTTGTGGTTGAGGTTGAGCCCCTGATAAAAATAGGATAAGGTTTTGAATGATAGCCTGCAACCTCATCAAGTTTACGAATTTGAATTATCCTTTCTTTGATTGTCTTATTCTCAGCTAGCTGAGATCCAGTCATCGGCGAGGTGATCCAACGTCGATATGCTTGCGGTGTGCGGAGGTTGTCAACTACGCCATTCTCTATACCAAACTCCGGGCATGCGGTGGCAACCTCAAATTCTTGGTGGCCACCTTCATGATCATACGAATATACTATAAGGTACTCGTAGTCCTCATTTGCAACTCCTTGGGCGCGAAGATTCGCAGCAATCTCTCTTAGTAGACGGATTTTGTCTTCAAGATTCACGGCCACATTCAAGTACGTACTGATGGTAAATATTCCCTGGAAAGGGGTTCCGGCCATTTCACAGAAGTTTCTTCCCAAGTTCCTTAGTGTCTGTACTCTCGGTTGGTCCAGTGATGTAGCCCATCTGCCTGCAATTTGCGAGAGCAGTAGGAGCCAAGACTGGGATTGATTGGGCACTCCTTTTGAAGACTTTGGGTAGGGAGAGCTTCCCGTATACGGCTTTTTCAAAGCATTGTGTAGCCTGAGTGCGGCGTCACCAGCAAAGCGAACGATCTCTCCTGATGGGATGCTGGGATCGCTGTCCCATGTTTTGATGTAGGCGGAAAACCAGGCAAACAGCAGCTCATCGACAGTGATTCTATCTCGCTCTGATGTTCTCGTAGAGCAGAATTTGGTTACTGGCAATCCATAATAGCGTAGGTGAGCTAGAGGAAGCGACCAGTAGACAGCCCGCGCTTCTTTGCCCTGGGGTGGATCTAAACCGATGGTGAGAATTCCCCTTCCAGAAAGAAGAGGATCTTTCAGATCAACTCTAGGGTTTGAAGCCGACAAGCAGTGCAGGTCTGGATAAAGGTGCCATGCCATTAGTCCGAGGAGAATTTCTCCACCTTGAACTGATCGCGGTATGCCTTCCAAAAGTTTCTCCATTTCTTTCATGGCCGTTGTCCAAGCAGTGATGACGCTCACATAAGTGTCCGGTTTATTATTCACGGATAAATCGATGTTATCTATAATGAGTCGTAACTTCTTCTGCTGCACCAACTTCTCTGAGTCGGCCACCCGGAGCCAAGATCGGCAGCTTGCATCCCAGTCTGCAAGGTCACAACGTGGGAACTGCTGGGCAGTAGCAAGCATCAAATTAGTATCGATCTCTCCCTCAGCTTCGAGGTCCGCCGCAACCTCCATCTTGCGGCGAAGTATGATCTCGTCCCAAAGGGATGTTGCTTCAGGGGCGTCCCACATCCTGGCCAACATGCATGCTAGTAGATGGCACTGGATCGCAGCGTGGCCCGAAGTCGCTGCAGCCCACAGCGTTGTTGCGTCTGCGCCAACGCGATTCGTGAACGGCCCATACGATGAGACATCGCCCTTTGGGTTGGCCTTCGCGCTTTTAGCGATCTCTGAAGCTCTTGATCCATATGCCTTGATTAGATTTGGCGTGGTTGGTAGGATGCCCTTGAAGAGCAGCCCGAGCTTCCTCGCGGTCGTGTGCTGCGATCCGTCTTGAGCCTCCTGTAGGCGGGCCTTAGCTAGATGCTGCCCGACGCCTTCGTACTCGACCGGCGGGTTAACTCGTTTGGTGAACAGGCTGATTTCGAAATTGAAGTTGGCTAGTGCGAGGGTTGTGTCTGCCCTCGCAGCCGCTGCAGCGGCGGTAATATTGCCGATAGAGGCCATAAGGAGACCGACAGGCTTTTCACTGGGGATGATACTGCTTTCTAGCTTATCAAACTAGGACGAGCGGTCAAAAGGAGCATAGGTTGGTGATGAGTGGGAAAGGCTCTGGAACTCAAACTTGACTGTCTCAGGTACGTATCAACTGCGCCTTGTATAGCCCCGCCCGCCTTTCGCTGGAAGGACCAATGATAACATGCGTGTCAATGGCCAACCTGAATACCTAACCTGCTGAGCTGGTATACAGTCAATGATTTAAGCATGACATCTCAGTCCCATGGTAATCGCAGGGCCTGACGCATATTACCACAGATATAGAACAAGAGTAGATCGGGAGAGAACCTAGAGAGATATAGGGGACTATTAATACTTTCTGAATAGTAGCGCCTTTCAGAACTCTTTTCCAACTCTTCGTAGATAAGCGAACAGAAATCAAGGTATTTACTGGGTAATCCTATTGACATATATCATTCTGGGAGATTATGGTAATATCAATCTCTCTTCATCTACAATACTAAGACATTTTAATGCCTTCTGAATAGCTGCAGTTCATTTCTATAATTCGAGGCCACATGCCTTACCGAGCACTACCCGTCATTCTAGGTTTCTGAAGTCTTTCCTACAAAGGCATACAGATGTCCCCGTCTCGTTCATTGAAGCCTATTGTCCTGATGTCCTGATGGCTATCAGTGAGCACTAGCACCGACAATTGTATTAGACCATCCAGTGCAGTCTACCACGATAGCAAGAAGCCAAAGCGCTCCACCTAATTGGACGTCAAATATCGTTGAAAGCAGGGTGCGTTCCAGTCTTGATTGGCTTGACGTGATTGAACTGACTTTGCTTTCGAGTTTGTGAAGGGAAGAAGTAATGGGCTGCCAAGGCCTCATTTGGATATATGAAGATCAGGACGAGATAGCGACTTCATTCGGTCATTCTGCCTTCGTCGATATGTCTCGCCTGCAGCTGTTTAACGTGCTCAATACTCTGAGGACCGCATTCTTGTTGACAATTGTTCATGAACCATTATCTCTCGGGGGAATTCGACACGTGTTGTGAGTGTACCTCCTGCACGAAAGCGAAGTCTTCCGAAATGAAACGTACACCATTAGCCTTCGGATTAAGAACGAATTGTAACAGAGAAATAGGACTAAACATGTCTAATAAGCCTGACCTGCCAGTAAGATCAAAGAATGCCGCAGGAAAGAGACTCTTGAAGAGGATAAGTCAACCTACTAGATAGTGGAAAAGCGGCTCAAGCAGTCGACCTCCATTCTCGTTAGCGGCATGATAACAATGCGAGATGGCTTCAAGGTAGGGAAAAGGACCTGTCCAGGAGACGAAACCGGGTGAGAGCGATCATGGATTCCGAAGCCCGAGAAGGAGCTCGAGTCTTGAGACGAACCAGCTCGCTCCAAGACTGTTTGCGAAGGTGGCTAGGGTCAATAGGGGTGTTTTACTGCAGAGATAGTAGCGCTAGGCATGATGCAACAACAGTATATTCATAATCTCTATAAACATACTGATCAGGCATTGCCTTAATTTCGACCTCTATACTATAATTTTCATCTACTCTATAAAAACCTACTAGCCGTCGCTTAGCCTTCATCCTTTCACTTTAATGGCGATAGTAGTCATTAAGGTATCTTATAAACTATTTAAGAGATATGCTTATAGCTAGTTATTATAGAGAAATCAAACACTTTAGATTATGATAAGATAGGAAAAGGAGATAGATATAAGTCGAATATAAATAAATGTTATAATTCTATTATCTTTTATCCTTAGTCTTTTAACTTACGAATATAAGGTCATATATTTGTATAAGTCACCTGACTGCTGGCAGGGGTAAGACCTTGCTCCCCCAACTCACTACCTGTAAATACACATAGGATGAAAATGTCCACTTACCCTCCCAAGAATAGAAATCAGGAATAGATGATTGTTCCCACGCTCTAGCTCCCGAATCACCCACACCCACTTTGTCAAACTACAGAGCCACCACTGATCTCGACGTGCTCTGCAGGCGGGTTGCTGGGAGATTCTCGTAATCCAGCAGAAAGATATGATCTGATTTTATTTGGAAAACGGTGTCGCAAGAGCGAATGGCCTTGCTGCCGTTTCTCAGCCACTGGCAATATTGATCGGTACTGCATGGACATCTGACCAGCATTCACGTTTTGTACTTCGCCGGGAACTTTGACCCCCGATGACTTAGGTATATGGCGCCAACGCCAAAAGGCCATCCATAATGCAAATGCGATGAGCAGTGAAGAGAGTGAAACTGAGAAGCGTTGATGTCAATGACGACTTCAGAGCTGCTGAGAGCTTTTCGAACTATACTTACACATATATGCGCACTGTTCCGTGAGGGTCATCCACTCGCTGCCCGTGGATTTGGCGTTGTTCATCCCAAAGAAAGCCGTGAAGAAATTCAAAGGAAGCTAGCGTTCTTGATAAATATCGCGCCGAGAGGCAGGAGAACAACTCTTACTCACGAAAATGATTGTAGCGAGTGTGAAGGCCATAATGGCTCGTCCCTGTTTGACACTCTCGTCAGCCCTCTCAAGCGCGGCCTTTGCCTCTACTATGCTTGCTTGTTGCTGTTTCAGAGTAAGTAGTTCTTGCAGCTACAATACATCAGCTTTATGAGTTTTGAATCGTTTCACAGTTCTTCTAAATCAGATTACCAACTGACCTGTTTGACCGTCCTTTCAGCTGCATTGATTAGTCCCTCGATCTCGGTCTTCCGGTTCTGCACCTGCTCTATGATATCATCCATGAACTCGGTGTGCCTTAAGAGCTGGCCTAGGTATCTCCTGAAGTCTTTGACCACGTCAAGCTGCTGTCTGTAGATACCGCTCATAATGCTCAATTCCTCCGCGATGTCTTGAGTTTCGCGGAGAAAAGCACCCTCGGGGTTAATATCGAGATATCTCGTACTTAGCCGGTCTGAACCGTCGTGTTCTCTTCCAGTGTGCCACCAGAAATTTTGATACGCCATTGTGGTGCCATCGGCCTATGCTATTGTCAATATACAGTTAAATATAGTGGTGCGGCTGTCTCGCGTGTCTGCGCCTTACCATGCGGCCAATCGCCTCAGCGAAGATGTCCATCACCTCCGGCCTGAGGTCAAGCGGTTTAGTCCTATCAAAGAACACTCTTGAACATTGGTCAATTATTAAGAATGCTAGATATTTGTCTTAGTAATAAAATTGCGAATCAATTTGAAGCCTTACCCAGATGCCACACTGACTTGATCTCTCCATCCATCTGTAGCAAGCGCTGTCGCAGACTTTTATGTATCCCTGATGTGTCCGGCTTGTTCCGGCCCCAGCGTCTCGGAAATGATGTGACTATGGTATCTATGCCATTTTCAGTCAGCTTACTGATCAAATGGTGTTCACAACCCAGGTGTGGGGGTACACAAACGTTCATCAAGTATCCACAGCCACAGCTGGTCAACCATGACAACTCGTGTGATGTCCCCGGGTTCCTGCCAAGCCAGCTTGGTCTCGCGATATACTACCTGATCTCTATCGCGTTCCGATGTGTCTTTCAAAGATAGGAAGTAGGACTGGTCAAGAGTTCGACGGATATGCAGGGGTGCTTCTCCATTAGGTTTCTGGGCTTTCAACCCGTGGATAAGAAGTTCCTCGTCTGGCTGAAAATCCATTGCGTCCCATACTTTGGCTACGTTGAGAAGGTAGTGACCAAGTTTTGTCTTTCTTTAAAAGGTTCAATACTGCATTCAATGGGACACCAATTGCTATGACTTACTTCGCGAAGCGCGTATCATTGTGTGCGGCGCTGCACCACCGTCGGACAACCGCTTTCTGTACTTCGTTCGTGCCATATCTCTTCCTCAAACTTGCAGTCAGCTTCTCTGCTTCCGTACTGTTATATTCCACAAATCCGCCCGTCTTTCTTCTTCTTCTTTCTAGTCTTGTAGTGGCAAGGCCGTGATTTAGAATAGCATCATCTCCTGGACTCAGGACTTCTTGGATTACTCGGGCCATCTTTGCCCTTCGATTATTGGTCTCCCAATGGAGATAAGGTAGCTAGCCATGAGTTAGTCAAGTGTCCATTGATAATTAACTAACCTAATTGGGCATAAAGAACCGACAAACACTGCAAATTGACGGGTTTGGAGTTTTGGGCTGGATGTAGAGACATGTTCTTTGGGTACATCGAAATGTGTTCCATTACTATCCGCGTGCTTTAGAGGCTTTTGTGCCATGAAGCTTGACTGTGTGTCTAAGTAAAGCATTAGCAACGCAAGGAGGGCAGAATTTCTATAGACTCTACCCAGGGGGATGCTAGAGCAGCGGGACCTCATATGTCGCGCGTGAATAGGGCTCTTCCCTAAACCATTTCCGTGGAGCTGGCCCCTCCAAAACTCACGAGACAGGGTACGATTGGCTTTTTCTCGTTCATCTGGTTTCAATTCCGTTTCATTGTGATAGCGTGCCATTGCTGTCTATTTGATGCTTCGTATTCAGCGCTTGTGTTGTCAAGATAACATGAAAATCGACTCACTTCTACCCACTTCGCAGTTCAACTTGGTCAGCCTATCAGCCATCATGTGCAGTGAAATAAGCGAGGCTCACCTCCATATGATTAGCCGGGAAATGAATGTATTTAAGAAGCTGTTCTTTGTTGCTATCATAGACTGGTTGAAAAGGATTATGGCTCGTATCATGGAGCATCTTATGGACAGATATTTTTCGGTGAGGAAAGTCCGCCTTCCCATAGTAATCTTGCGGAACTTGATACTTGTCTGGGAAATCACTAACACCCCTCCAAACTGAGCCCTGTTCCGAAGATGAGCGCTTGAAATGCATGATGCCAGCATGGAAATTCTGCGCCGGATCGCCAGCGTCATCCTCGCCGATTGTGTTCTGCTGGGATTGATCTGTTAGGTGATACAAGAAATTGTCACGGTCTTCGTTGAAGTTGGGTCGATCCGGATCATTTGCAACTTGTGTTGCCCAGTCTTGAAA